TGTTGTCAAAATTATTTTAACAAAGTATAGTAAAAGTACAAATAAAATCGTTATGCTAAAACATATCCATGATTCAATGTTTTTCCGTGGAGCGGAGAAAATAACTAGGGTTTTTATTAAGGAAAACTTTAAAAATATTTTGGATTTTTCAATATTTTGCAATAAATTATTGAAAATTAGCGTATTGAGTTATCAACAAATTATAAACTATTCAGCACAGAAACATTATCAACAATTCTAAGTGGCTTTGATTTTGATGGGAACAAAATTGAAATTTTTCTTTAGAAATGACTGTGACATTCAGACAATAAATACCAAATCATCAACAAATCCACAGAGGAACAATAACATATACCCACGTGTGTGAAAATTATGTATGTTTAATCATTGTACATCTTCAGTCATAAATTTAACGTTAAATTAAATAGAAATCAAGTTAATATTCAACCATTTTAATAAAATTAATATAAACTTTAGACACACAACGAACACGATTATTGTGGAAAAGTAATTTCACTGAATCCGAATCACGCATTATTGTTTTATTTTGAATGATTTGTTACCAAATATTATCTGAAGCTAAAACGGTGGCTTCGTTGACGTACTCGAAACCTAGATATCTATAGAAAATTGTGAACACCTCGTTTTCAAGCTTTTTCATCTCTTCAATCATAACATCTTCATGGTAGTCGTTGTACAGTTGTTGGATTTGTTCGTTGTCTGGCAGTATGCAATAATTTTTTTCGAACAAAACCAACGGTTCGTCTCTATGAACATTAATTGATCGGAAAACTTTTCCGGAAAATTTCGTCAGATCTCTTTTATACTTTTCGTCGTCTTTGTTGGATGTCGTGTTCTCGTTGACGTGTGTCGATAAATATTCTATTTCGTCCATATGATAACTAATGCTCTAAGGAGACGGTCGAGTGTGTCGGCTAACTGTTGTTTTTGATCAGACGAAATAGCCGTTATGTTTATGCACACTATTTGAAAAAGCAATAGGCTAAATACCGATAAGCAATCCATTTTGACGAACTGCACATGAAGCGTTGTGCGCGTAACGGTACTTGTGTATAAATGAATCTAACTAATAAACCGCACAAAAAATGAACACCTGCCCAGACGCCAAACACTAAAACGCGTTGAAAGTTGTTTGTTTAGTCGGCCACTGTAGTCAACACAGTAGACACGTTCATATACAATGTAGTCCATCTAATGGTAGACAAGCGGACCTTATCTTCCTAACAATAGGAACGGTGACAGTGTTCTCGTTGAGGTCAATATTATTATTTAATTGAAAACCGTTGTGTTACTGCTGTAAAAACCGAACGAATATTGATGTTAAATTCAAATGTTGACAATTTTATGGCAAACGAAGACATTGACAGTTAACAATTCAAACTTTGGCAATTATTAAAATTGTTTGTGTACATTTTTATGGCAAATAAAAACATACTTATTTTACGTACAAGCGATAAATGTACAAATTTTCCAAGTATTGAAAATTATATTTCAATATGTACCTAAAAGTATAGGAAAAAATTAATTTTCAAAATGTTCATACTTTCGGTGAAAATGAGTGTCCTAGATCAGATGGATCACCCTGTACGTATATACCGAAAAATTAGTAATAACTACATTTATTTGGTAAATATGTGTTTGAGTAAGATTGTAAACATATTTTTGATGTGCGCATTTGTGTAAAATAAATAATATAAAGTTAGAGCTAGATTGAAAATTACAATTATATAACCTTTAACATTTGTACTATTAGATCTTCTTTTAAGTGTTTTAAAGGCATAAATGTTCTTAAAATAGTATATTATATTTTAGTATCAAATGTAGAAGCGATTTTGGTCAATCGACTTTCTATATTTTTTATCGTCGTTATACATAACTATTTTCCAGGTACCTGTTGACTGTTTGTACGCTAACACAACCTAGAAATTTACTAGAAGTTTAATTTTCTTCTTGTTTTTTTTGCTTTTCTTAAGTATAACTAGTGATTCAATAATAAACCTTACATGTTAAAACACCAATTTTTATACTTTTTACGCGGCAAAACAAATTGAATGCATTATTTGTGATAATTTTATGAACGACATCGAGTGAAAATATTAAAAATCAATTTCAACTTTAAAATATCACCGGAATCGTAAACTCACAAGAAGTCACAGATTTTCACAGAAATTATTTCAGTATGTAATATTATGCTGTACTTGATTTCTTATATCGATTGAATAACCTTCAAAAAGGATTTATATGTACACATTTTTCTATTTACTTTGTATTATTTATTTTGACGGTAAAACCCGCCGCTATTAAAACAATACCTTAACGGCGGTTTGTATGTACTACCAGAGGGTGTAATAAAGGGGAGGTAATCGGAAACGCGTTAGCTGGTCGTTGGCGAACACGGTCTGGTGTCGGATCAACTTATCGCCGTTGTTAACAGCGCTGTGCTCGGTACGGGCGGGATGACTAGTAAGACACTTTATACACTTTGTACACAAGTCTGGCACACCCTCGATGAAATCTGATACTGCCAAAAGTTTTCAGCATCGGTCATGTGTTCCGGTGATCCAATTAGGAATCCAGCAAATACCTATTTATGGTGGTTGAACGGACGAGGAGGTCTTGGGAGACGAGCTGCGCAGAGAGGCTAACAGTTATTCTGCAGATTAAGCGAGCCTTGTGTTTCCACGACTCGTCTATTTCATTCAACACCATCGTTGTACAATTCACATATTGTTATTGTGTTGCAAGTAGACCCACGATTGATTTTATGCGATCATATTTATGATTACATTGGCAACGATGATAGTGTTAAAGATAATAGCAATTATCACATTAATATTAACGATATTGATCATGACTATAACGTTGATGATGACAATAGTTATCACAGTGATAATAATAAATCCCTAATAGTTATCAACATGGCTATGACTAACAGATTCTGATAGGTATTGATAATAATAGTGATAAAAACGATCATGACAATTATTGTTGGGATTAAATATTAAGATGCGACATACCTTTTGGAAAATTCAATTTTGACACACATATTTTATGTACATAACATAATATTTAATATTTATCATAGTATATTTTTTCAAAACAAAACACCTATAACAAATTAGTTTAAAAAAATGTAAATAATATATATATTATATATTAAAGTTAAACGTACTATATAATTTTAGGCATATAGTTGGGTAAAAAGGCACACCTATTTCAAAATTATATTAATTTTAAAATTAAAAAAAACTCGGGAACATTATCATTTAATGTATACTAAATATGTAGAAAATTATTATCTTTTTATTACGTACTCATAAATTTTTTAAAGTAAAGTAAATATCTTAATGCTATCTTAATATCTTGGTAATAATTAATTAAGAACATCCTTTGTTTTATCACCTTGTTGTTCTGTTATCAAACAATGAAGTATTAAAAATAAAAATAAAATCATAAATAATAATGATACCTAATACAAACCGGTAATATAACACACTGGTTTGCCATATTACCTAAGTATAGTGATGATAACATCTATAACTACTTTGACTATTATGACTAAAATGACTATGGCAATTATAATAATAACGATGATGACAATTGTATTAGTAATAATGATAATTGAAGATGTGGGTGGATAAAAGTGTCAACTGACATTTTTTGTAAAATAGCTGAGAGTTATAAAAATAGTTTGAACGAATGAAAGTGTTAGGATAGATATTATATTACACAATTTAGCAAACTATTTTAACAAATGAATATATGCCTCCTGAACAGTTTTGAAATAGTCAGTTGACACTTTTATCGACTAGCACTTTCAATATTATGAAAATAATAACAACCATATTGGATATGATAATGACATTATGTTAACAATAATACTTGATGATATTCGCTGTACGTTGGACGGTTAAACGAACAGCGGGAGCCGGGCTTAACGCGTTGAAATCAATCGGGGTGAATAATAACGTGGCCAGTTGCGATCAACAGGTCTCGTTCAAGTGGTAGACAGGTAGAAGAGGCAGAGAGAGACGAGAGGTAGAGAGACCTTTTGCCCGACTTGGAGTGTTTGGCAACCGATAATGACGTTGAGTACACACAGTGTACAACGCGCCGCTCGGTCAGTGATCGTTTCGTTGCTGGAAACCCATTTTTCGTTTTCATCCCTATACAGCGTTTCTCGGTTTTATCCCTTGTCCGTTTTTCAGGTGGAGTTTGAATTTTTTCCTTCTAAACACTTATCCCGTCCCCTCGAAGTGCATCCGAGCAAAAACGGGCTGCCGGAAATTTTAATATCATACGGGGTCGTGTTCCCCGGCCGACCGTCGGTCTCTCCCGGTCCGGTCTCCCAGGACGGTCCCGGACGGTGATCAATCATCCGGGCGAACCGCCGACATGTTCTTGCCCTTTTTTCGCCAACAGGTTACCCGCCGCGATATTGTCATAAGAGAGGTATGTAAGTGGACAAACAGATGAACAAACTGAACAGATGAACAAAGGCCGCGAAAAATATTTACCACAAATTCGACGTTTCCGAGACCATTTTGTCCAATCAACTAACACAATAGCGCATTCTGTTTAGAAAATTAAATCTTGTACTTGTAAGAATTAAGCTGTGACAGCTGTGCTGGTCTTAAAATCAAATACTCTCGAGCGGCAGAAATTGAGAAACGGTTTGTTGGGCAAATTAATTCGAGTTCATTTAACGGAGAAAAGTCGAGGGAAAAGCAAATAGAAAAGGAGAGAAAATAAAGAAGCGCACGGGGGGCCCTAACGAAGCGGAAAAAAACATCTATTGGCAATGATAGTTAGCGCTAATCGCCATTGCTACCGGCACAATATTATATAATAACAATTAATGGTCGCTTCACTGATCGCACCAGGTGCTGCAAGAGCAACGTACCACTTGCTCGAAAAGCCCAACCATGCAATTCGGCTGAAAAGACTGTCTAAATAAAAACAAGGCAAATACAACTGAATTAAATTCATAAAATACCAAAACAAATGATTATAAATATAATAAGTTCAATGACAAAAATATTAAAACCGCTCGAGTCGTGTCATACATATAAAAATTAAATTTACATACAACCAAGTAAATACCACCATACGATGGTTTTACTGTTAGTTTAATTTGTAAAAAGTAAATTGCATTACACTTGCAGTGTGTTTTTAGTTTAAAAACAAATACACAATCAAAGTGTTGTTAAATATTTCACAACGATATAAAGTTCATTAGAATAGATTTTACAATAATATTGAGATTTATTAAAACAGAACACTGGGTTCAGGTCGTTTGGCTACCCACGTTTTAATCTGAGGAATGGACAAGACTTGAGTTTTCAAGGTTTGCAAATTCGGACGTCCTTCCAGTATATCAATTTTGGCCATGTCGCTCAAAGTGTCAGATATCGCCACGAAAAATAAATCTGCCCAAGTCAACTGAAAAGAAAAATTCAACAATTTTAAGGCATTGCTTTAAAACCATTAGAACTTTACCGGAGTGGCATAGTTCTTGTATCTTATTTTTTATAATATGTTATTCTATTTAAATAAAGCCGTGTATATAAATTGCAAAAAAAATCCCATTTATTTGTTTGACATTTTGGAATTTAATCACTTTGAGAGTATAGAATTCATCCGAAAAGCTCACTATAACCGAAGAAGAGACCCCGAACAGTCGTCTGCAGTTAGCTATTTCTTGTGTAGTAATCAAAATTAAAGATAAATCGAAATGGCTCGAGACGTTGGTGTTTTAATTACTTAAAACGGTCCATAGAGTGTTCACATCGTACACTATCTGCTCGCCTTGTTACAATCAAACAGCACATGGAAGCATTTCCATTAGACTTTAGTAGATTTTTAATGGGGTCTCCGTTTCAATGAGTCATTGAGTTCAAAATTCTTAATTAAAAATCGTTAAACATAGAACGTGTAGGCGTTTATTTGTAGAAATATATATTTTTTTTTTGCTAGCCAAAATTAATTAGATACAATTTTATTTGCTCAGTATAGTCTGGTTAAAAATAAATGTCTGTCGAAGACAAACAATAATTGTAATACCTTTCCATTGACGAAGAACCCTTTGTTTATCGTAACGATACTTTCAAATTTTTCCATGTAAAATTTGGTTATTTCTTTAATTTTCGAACTATTCGATTCGGCGTCACAATTTTTGCGTTCAGTAAACACATATACCGCGATTTCTGGAAAAACCAAAACAATTATGTTACTATGTTAACGCATAAATTATTTTTCTCAAAATGGATATCATGCTATTGGGCTGGATACGAGAATTTCCGTGTAGCCATTTTCGCGTTACACTTTCACATTCAGTAAGAGATAAGAGATCGGATACACGAAATTGTAGATAAGAGATAAGAAATAAGTGATATCAGATTAAAGATAACATATTAATGATAAGAGAAGTGATAAGATATATGAGATAACATATTATCCAACGATTGATTGAATGTTTTTCCACGGAGCGGAAATAATAACTAGGTGTTACTTTTCAAATTAATTTGAAAACTATAAAAATATGTATTTCGTTTATCGTTTTCGTCCGTACCGTGTCTGAAGTCGTGAACGTTATCGACGGCAATGTCGATTAACATTGATTCCCAATCGTCGATTCCCGCCAAACCGGCTTTTCTAGCCAGATAACGTGTGATGGCCGAGGACTGGTTCAATACTTGACCGTCGATTTCCAAAATTGGCACTTTCCCGAACGGCATGGCTACATCAATCGACGGACGATTAAAAAATATGTATTTGTCAGGTATTGTAATACAGGGTGACTCTTTTATCGTGGGCCACTCTATAGCCCTCACAGGGTTTAATAAAAAATAAAAATACATTTTTTCATATTGTTTTTATAATGTAATGTCATCTCAATTTTTCACATTTATTTTTGTTTTTACTCTCTTCCAACTTAGTTTTTTTTTTTATAGCATCTTTTGAAACTTGGTTACGCGTATACTTCATTAGCTTTTAATAATGAGAATAGTGTACTAAATACATTTTGACTGGTCGATAACCAGTTTTAGAAAACTACTCTTAAAGTTATAAGAGTTTAAAATTTAGGACGGGAGGGCAAGTGCTCGCAGATAAAAATAATATTACACTTCACCTTTTCTCCAGCCCTAAACTTGAAACTTCACATACTTCAAAAATAGTTATCCAAAACCGGTTATTGACCAGTAGAGTAAACAAAATGTATGTGTTACCGTTTACAATTGCTCTCAAAAAAAGTTGTGCTAAATTGAGATCAAATTGTACAAAAACAATATAAAAAAAAAGTGTAATTTCTTATTTAACCCTATAAGATATTGAGTGGCTCATGATAAAAGAATCATTCTGGATAAATGTTAAATAGGTATCCTTCAGTTCAAAAATATAATATTACCTATTTGATTTTGGGGTGGTAAAAAGATTAATTCTAATATTTTAATTTATGAAATTTTACAATGTTAAACAATATTTTTATTTGTGTCAATTATTATTTTTTTTCTAGAACTCTATCATCTTTAAAAAAATTAAGGGGTAACATATAATTTCATTAACTTTTAAATTAAAAATGATATGTTGTAAATTTCGACTGGTCGACAACCAATTTTAGATAATTAGTGTTAATGTTAAAATGTAGTGTTCAAATATTATGTGCTCTGTAAATATTTATTATGTATGTAGGTATAATATACACTTTTTTTTTTTTAATATTTTATTATTATAATTTTATATCAATTTTTGAGTGAATCTCGAGTTTCTTTTTTCAGGCGACGTTGGCCGTTGCCAGTGAATGAAAAGGAGGACGTATTTTTGGCGAAAGCATTTGGACAGATAAATTACTTAACAATAATTGTGTGTGTTTGCTAATGACTAGTTGGACTGAGCGTTTGACAAACTTCCTCTAACTTGGATATCTTAAACACTTCAAATAGCCTCGACGGGTTCAACGCGACACTTACACGGTTTGACAGCTGACCAAGTCTGGTATCCGATGCGATTGTCTTCGAAATCAATGTCCAAGTACGCCATCAGGAATCTGATGGGTTCGGCCAGCCCGGGCACATCGAAATAGGTTAGTTTATAAGACATGTCGACCGCAATGTGGATATTATAACGGTATTGCACTATATGCGATGTTCAACGTCAATGTTCTTCTGACAATGTGTTTATAAACTTACAATACACGATTTATATAATACTGTTATTATTACTTTTAGTAAACTGATAAATGCCACCGCGATATCGGTTTTGTATACCTATCTTATTTTGATAGGTAACCTTTGAAATTACCGGTGCGAGTTGTTTTTCAGTTTTTACTTATCAGCTCTCACCAATGTACACTAATATAGTAACTACAAATTATCACGAATAATATTGTGAAAACGCTTTTAATAAACTATCCAGTAAAAACAAGGCGACTCTCTAAGTCTTCCCAGAAATAATATTGTAATAAGGTCCTTTAGGACAGTTAGCATAAATGCAGGCCCTCGAAAGCATTTTCTCAAAGCCACTCACACTCCACGTCTCTTTGAGTTGTAAATTTAATTTGAACTTTGCCTTTATTCTCTTACCGTTTTTGTGTTGTGTTATTTTACACGATAATAATCATTTTTGGCAAACTTGGCCATCTTGGTTTGTCGTTTATTTTGAAACAAACGTTTAGTTTATTTCGAGACTCGATTTAAGCGTTTGTTCATAAAGCTAGGCAAGTAAAAACTAAAGTAATAATGTACACAATTCACGTTTAAAAAAAAACCCGATACATTTTTTTTTTAAACTGAAAACAATTTAAAAAGTTTTCCTTACCTTCTTAGAAAACAAAATAGCTATGGTTAATAATTTCATACTATACAACTCAATTGGTAACAAAGTTTCCTTAGAAGTTTTTGTACGTCGAGCGGATAAAGTACTTATTATTTTTTTTTATTAAAATAGACCCAAATTTTTAGTGAAAATAAAACAAGAAAAATTGATTGAATACAAACGATTAGTTTGGTAATTAATATGCGACAGAGTGGTTAAGTAAGAAAACATGTCTTTTGAGTTTCGATTGTCATTTCTAGTAGTATTCTCAATAGTAGTGGTAATGGATACGGTTGTTTTTAGATAGAAAAAAAAAAAAGAACTAACGCTATGGAAACGAATGAAACGACATAAACAAAAAAAAAACATTACTACCGGTCGTAAAAATTAAAAATTGGCTTCATGAAAAACGGTTTAGGTACACATTGCACATTAAACGTTACAACTACCGTAGTTTAACGACCATTGTACACGGTTATGAACGAAATTGGTCGTTCTAAGAGATAATAACAATATTCTGCGAGTAGACAAAAACGCCAAGCAAACGGTCTGAAAGGCTGTGGGATTCCTTAACGCCTCTAGTGCAGAATCAAAAAATACAGGCCAATATTACTCTTGGAAAATAGGTCAGAAAATAATTTTCAAAAAAAAAACCTTGATCAAACTACAGACTACATACCAGAAAGCTGGTTAAGAGTCGAATTAAAATAGCTGTTTAAGACAAAACATTATGTAGCTAAACATGTAGTGCTACAAATTGTATTTATTCAAGTGCTCTACGCAATTTAAATGTTATTTATTTTATTCGGATTTTATGTTGATTCGGTGTGCTATTGATAATTGGTGAGGAGTTGAGTTCAAATTTCAAAAAAAAAAAAAAAAAACTAGGAAAAACTCGGATTGTTCCTGAAAAATTGGTAAAACATGATTACAGAAATTGAACAACATTTTGAGTACTAATAAAAATTACTTATGTTAATATTATTAAAAACTGGTACTACTATTTTTTTTTCTAGAATAAAAACAATATGTACAGTAAATTAAAAAAAAAAACATTCCTTTCCAACGCTGAACCTATCTGTTATTATTATCAACAACGACTTCAGTGTTTTTTGTTTGTTTTAATAAACCAATTATTAATCATTAAACTCTGAACCGTATGTCTATGATTTTCGATATAGTTATCAAGTAGATATAGTATTCTCGATTGATAATAATTAGTAGCTATGCACACCTATACAATGTGCAACAAACAATAATCAAAATTAATGAAATTATGTAATCACACATTGAATTCTGTATGTATTTTTATGACCGTATTAAAAACGTTTGGATTACATTGGTTTGAGTACAGTGTGTTTTTTATTACAATCATGCGTTATTGTCTGTGGGTTTGATGGCATTGATATCTATTTGATTGACGAGGTCGTTTGTTTCTAAATATTAAATATCAAAGTATTATGAAAGTCAAATAGCGACATACATATATCAGCTGTTATCTAATGAAATCGACATGACTTAATGGGGAAAAAAATGATTGACGGATAACCGGTTTCGAATGAATACTTTTTGAGATATTAGCATTTAAAGTTTTAGGCGAGGAAGTGAGTGCGGGTAGGTATTATGTTAACATAACCTGTTAAATTAACATTAACAGTACACCTTGTCAAACCCTGTCTGCACCTATACAATATTTTTGAATTATAAAAAAGAACTTCATACAAAAAGGCCCTGAGACCATAACTTAAAACTTTTGTTACCTATTTTCAAAAAAATATAAGATACCTATGAAAATCAATAGCTATTGGATATGGAAAAATCAATAAATGTATGTAACTAATAAACTTAATCATTTTTATTTTATAGCTTTAAAAACAAAATCCCTATATCATTAAACAAGTTTTATTATAATTATTGTATTTCATTGAAAAGTAATTGTCCAAAACTGGTTATCGACCTGTCGAAAATTTTTAGCAAACTATTCTTAGTTTAAAAAGTCAATTCAGCGTATACGTTGGCCATTTAACATTCAAAAGATGGTAGTGCTGTGGAAAAAAATAAAAATATAACAATTTGAAAACTATCGTCTAATATTGTGAAACGACATATTAAACCAAAGTGACTATGAAAAGAGAAACTATAGAATTGCAATCGTTTCACGAGAAATTGATAGTTAAATTTAAAAGTTTATTTTTTTTTTAATTGGAAGGTGTCAAGTTTGTAGGGTAATTCGTAATTCGGGTTCGTAGTTCAATGTATTATGGCGATTGTGAAGTCAGGGAAAAAAAATCCTATTAATAATTTATATATTTGTAAAAAAACATCTGTTTAAAAGACATAACAAACCGTATTGGTAACGTATTGCACACAATGTTTATTATTTAGTAATATTGCATTTATATATATATAAAAAAAAAAAAAGAGTTAAAAAACTCATTTGTTCATGTAAAAGGTCAAATTCGTTCGATTAAAACTCTTACTATGTTGGTTAAGAGTTAAATTTGAAAACATTGGTATTCACAATTTTAAATAAGTATACAGGGTGATTTATTTTGGGCAAAACACTAAAAAATTTCTCAGAAAATACTAATATTTTGTAAAAAGACATTTTTTTTATTCTTTTAGGTACATATTTTATTATATTTACAAAATTAAAAAATACGTTAACGTTTCCATCCATTTTTTCATTCGTTATGACTATAATATAAAGATTATTAAATCCTTAAAAATAAGTTTGAAAAAATTGGTATTCATATTTGGTTTGAATAAGTATACAGGGTGATTCATTAAGGATAAGACACTCATTTTCTCGGAATATATAAATATTTTCAGTAATATTTTTTTCCAACAATTTTTTTGGTACACATCGTACTATATTTTTAAATATTCCGAAAATTTTTATCACCAACCCTTATAAGCCAAAAAGGAGAATTTTTAGTTTTTTTTTTAAATGGCAACATAATGTTTTTCATTACATAAATTTGTAGAAAAATATTTTTTTAGCGTTTGAATTTTGAATTTTCATTTATTTGTTCATATCGATTAAATCGCCATTCGTGGCTGATAAAGTGGGTTTGTAAAACCGACCTGTGTTAGAATAGCTAATCTGTAGATAAGAACCGTTTGTCTATCATCATTTCAAAGTCTTTCATACCAGTGACTTTTTTTTTTTGTTAGGGTGTTATCGCCAAATGGACAATGCATAAACATAAATATGAATTTTATGTGCTACCGGTTTTGGAAAACCGAAGAAACATGATAACCGACCAAAACCGAGTTTAACTTGTTAAGACTAGTAATAGCAAAGTCATAGCTAATGAACAGGTGAATGAAAACAAAAAATTCAAACGCTAACATGTTTTTAAATTTTTCGTCCACAAATTTATGTAATTAAAAACATAATATGTTGCCATTAAAAAAAAAAACAAAAATCCCCCTTTTTGGGAAACAATTTTTTCAAAATATTGAAAAATATAGTACAACGTGTACCAAAAAATATTGATCAAAATATTAATAATATATTCTGAGAAAACGAGTGTCTTATCCTTAATGAATCACCCTGTAGTGCATACAATTTTTTTTATTTTATTTTTATCATTTTTTTCAAGTAAAATTCAATAGTATTTCGTTGATGAGTCTAAAAAAATTTTTTTTTTCTATATACACAGTTTTTTTACATCATTATTACAACAATATTTTAATATAATAATATAATGTCATTATACTGTACAAGGTGGGCAAGGCGGCGGCGACGGGGCATCGGATATAAAAAAGGTGTCGGTGGCGACAAGTGTGGGTTTGACCGACGTGAAGAGGGTAACGAGTAAAATCGATGGTCCGGCGACGAGTCGGTCGCGCAGAGGTTAGGTTGAAAGGGCCGGGGAGGGGGGAGGAAAGGGGATGCGGGGAGAGGACGATCGCGCGCGGACGGAACGGGAAAAACCGACCGGAGCGTTATTCGCGGGAGAGGGGGGGAGGGAAATAAGGAGCGGGGGGGGGAGTAGGAGGAGAAGCTGCGGGACACGGCCGCCCGTCGTCACCATGGTTACGGGCCGCGCGCAGATCAATGGTAGGTGGGAAAAACCCAACTAGCGTAGTACTCGCGTGGTGGGGGGGTGGCGGGGAGAGGGGGGGGGCAGAGGTAACGGCGGAGGATCGTGTACGGCGTACTATGTATAATATATAATATAATGTACACACACACACGCACGACGATGGTATTATGATTTTGTTTTTTTTTTTTTTTTTTTTAATAATTTTAGATTCTTGTCACCCTATTGTACGGTTAGGTTAGGTTCAGTTTTGGTTAATAATGTACCTGACGTGATAGTTTTTACTGAAATACACCGGTAAAGTATTCCTCTGCTACTTCTTCTTTTCGAAAAGGCTAAGCCTTG